GGAAGAGAGAGAGAGAGAGAGAGAGAGAGAGAGCAGGCGGCTAGGGCACGATCGGGAATTAGAGCCTAGAACGGGGAGATTGGTTTATGTTTACGGTTTCGGGTATGGTTCGGATAAAAATTTATAAAATGGGATAGCGTTTGTTAGCGGATTTTAGCGCTTTTAAGCGCTAAACACCGTTTTTTGAGCAAAAAGCAGTTTTCTCCGCTAAAAAACCACGCTATCCTCTTTATTGGCCCGATAAAGCATCGCTTCTGCGATTAGCGGCGCTATAGCGGCGCAATTTGCCGCTTTTTACAACATTGTGGGCTCTGGGGAGGCTGTTTCCAGGATATGCCTGTGGTTAAATTTATAGGTCTAAAGTGTAATATACAAACGAATAGTTCATTAAACAAATGAATCAGATATACCTGCAGTTAAATTCTATTCATTTATGAACCAAAGACTAAAACATATTCATTTATTGTTAAATGAACTATCAAATTGAATAGGACCAAATACCTAAATACCAAAATACTTGTTCAATATTTGGTTTGTTTCCACCTCTATCCTTTAAATATAGTTTTTAAATTGAGCTTCAACCAGAAGACCATGCAACTTTCTGTGAAGAAGAAAAACATGATAAATAAATTACTAGCTAGACGTGGTATTCTGGTAGTAATGAACTGTCTAAGGGAATTAGAAAGTTAAATATGCTCCAAGAGTTAAGTATTCTGATACTAAAAACTAAGGGAATTACAAAGTTAATGGTACTAAAAACTATTTATTTATTGTTAAATAAACTGTCGAATCGAATATGACTGAATACTTAAATATCAAACTATTTCTTAAATATTTGGTTCGTTTCCACCCCTATCCTTTATATCCAATTTCTAAAAAAGAAAACTCAAATCACGGAAATCATGTAATATTCTCTTATATTCTTTGTACTCATGGAGGATCAAACACGTCTCTTAGGAAAATTTTAAGTCGAACGTATCCTTTATTAGGGGTGGAAACAAACCTAATTCAAATGGAATATCACAATATTCGTATTCGTATTCAGTTCATTCAACTATTCGATTTGTATTCGCATTTGAAACGAATAGGAAATGTGCATTCAAATTTGATTCGGTTAGTATCGAAATATTCAACAACTATTCATGAATATTCATTAACTTTTTAATGTAGCCTTTTTGTGAATTATTCGGTTCATTTTCGGTGGATATTCGGTAAATATTCAATAAATATTCATTATCCTATCCTAGTCTTATATTTGTAGGCTAACATGATACAATTAATGAATATACAACATATTGATAAATATAATATTCACAAATAAAAAAATGCTTATATGAGGCTGATGTTTAAAAAACTTTTGGGATGTATAGAAAATATAATAACTAAAATTTATAGGTCTAAAGTGTAATATACAAATGAATAGTTCATTAAACAAATGAATCGGATATACCTGTGGTTAAATTCTATTCATTTATGAACCAAAGACTAAAACCTATTCATTTATTGTTAAATGAACTATCAAATTGAATAGGACCAAATACCTAAATACCAAACTACTTGTTCAATATTTGGTTTGTTTCCACCTCTATCCTTTATATCCAGTTTCTAAATTGAGCTTCAAATAGAAGAACGTGCAACTTTCTGTGAAGAAGAAGAATATTTACATTTCCACCTCTGTAACATGGCACTTTGTCAAAATCTAATTGTATAAGGAAAATCTGAATTTGCAACAAGATATATGCTTTTGAATCAGATAATAGTACAGATGACACCTTTTCTAGGTATGACATGTTTAAACTATGAAAACTTATCAATTATTACAAGTTAGGTTCCTTTCGTGTAACTTTCTTTCCTATCTATGCAAATTTTAGTAGTCCAGATGATTTTTTAATGGTTTATAATAAGGGCACTTTAACTTCTTAGACCATTAATATTTTAGCAACTTATGCAACAGACACATTGTGTTATATTATTGCCACCACTTATCAGTAAGATATGATGTCATATATTCCAGGGACTTCTTAAGAATGGAACACTACTCGCTGTAAAGAAGCTTTCTGCACAATCAAGCCAAGGGGTCAATGAGTTTCTGACCGAGATTGATATCATCTCGAATGTAAAACATTCAAACCTTGTCGAACTGCTTGGTTGCTGTCTTCATAAAAGTGAACGGATACTGGTGTATGAATATCTTGAGAATGGCAGCCTTGATCGTGCATTACTAGGTAGGGTTTGAAACAAGTACCTGATTTAAAGGCTGTAATTTATCTCTTGACATATGGATAATTGTATGTTATGTTTACCTTGTAGGTCGCACTAGTGAAAGGGAAAAGCTAAATTGGGGGACAAGATCTGCAATTTGTTTGGGCACTGCAAGAGGCCTCATGTTTCTTCATGAAGAACTTGAGCCATATATTGTACATAGAGATATCAAAGCCAGTAACATTCTCCTTGACTCAAATCTCATGCCAAAAATTGGAGATTTTGGATTGGCCAAGCTTTTTCCTGATAATATTACTCATATAAGCACTCGGGTCGCTGGTACGACGTAAGTTTTATTTAATAGTTATGAAAATCTTACTATCTAATGTTGGTATTTTGAGTGAACTACTTTACATTTTGCTATTCCTCATAAAATTTTAGGAGTTTGAAGGATATTAAACCGAGTTTGAAGATAGATCACGAAAACATAGAAAATCAAATATTAAAATTAGGAAATAAACTTTTAATTGATTATTGTGTAAGAATTAATTCACTTTTTTTTTTTGAATTGGAAGTAGTGAATCACTGGTCATGTGACAGGTGTCGACATCCTTTTATTCTCTATTACCATGTGCAAAGCTGTCAAAAGCAAGGAGCATTGCTAAGGTTGATTAAAGCATTATCGTTAGAGGAGAAAGAAAGTGAAGAGCAAGAGAGTACGGGCTGGCGGAATGCTTGCCATAAAACTAAACAAATATTTCAAATGCATTAAGGATTTAGATCGAATAAAATTGATGCATGTATGATGTATGTATGCATGTATTTGCAGGCTTGTGTGTGTGTGTGTGTGTGTTTATTTATTTTTATATAAGGTTGTACGTATATGTGTGTGTGTGTTTTTTTTAGGTTGGGGGGGGGNGTATCCATGCATGTGTGTGTGTGAGAGAGTGTGAGCATGTTATATCAACTGAAATAAAAAAAAAGGCTACCTTGTTAGATAGGAATTTGACTGCCAAAAAAAATTACTATGTATATAGGAACATTTGCTTTAAGAGGATTGAGAGAAGAAATAGTATATCTGAGACCACACTACTTTTCATATAAATTCCAAGATTGGTCGTGCAAACCAGTGCATAGTTGATAACAGGAGTGAACCTATAAAAAACAAGTCGCGCTGATATAAAGCTGTTACAAGATAATTTGGAGCATAATTTGGAGAAAGCAGACAGCATATCTGAACAAAATGAGTATTATTAGAAGAGCTATTTGATTTAATTGTGTCCTTGTGATAAACGGATATTTCTTTCTCAGTAGCAATCTATAGCACAATAAAATTTACCTTTGTTGTCATCCATTACCTTCAGCAATACTAAAGAACAATGCTTTATCCTAACGTTTTAAAGAATCTTATTTAACGTTTCCTTTCTGGTTCTCTTCAGTGGTTATCTGGCTCCAGAGTATGCAATGCATGGTCAATTAACGAAGAAAGCTGACATATACAGCTTTGGGGTCCTTGTGCTCGAAATAGTTAGTGGAAGAAGTATATCTGATATTCCTAGGTCAGATATGGAGAAGTTCCTTTTGGAATGGGTAAGTTGCTCTTGGTCATTGCTTGCTAGTCTCGATTATTGTGAACATTTGCTGGTGATGTCTGGTTTTGGTTTATTGATTTTAACGATCAACTTCAACCTTTGGCTATTGACAATTACTATGACTATCAGCATGTGTTTCATTTTAGAAAAACCGTTGGGAATTTGCTAGAGTTCTTTGGCATAATAAAGGAGGCCTCGAACTCTTTGTTTCTGACCCTGCTTCACCTTAGTTGTTACTTGAACAAAAAAACTTGTTGCTAATTAGCACTTAAATACCTAATAGTTTCCCTACTTTGCACTAATATACCCTCACTTGTTTATATACCTGAACTTTTTAAAGTTGGCGCTCTAGTACCTTCCAGTATGCAAACTTGAAAGTATTTCCTGAATATTCCCGTGTGGCACCCGGATACTAAATTTAGAACTTTTTAACACTTACGTTCGTTGAATTTACCGTTAAACGTATCCAAATTATATTTTAAGCGTATGTCATGCTAAAAACTTTTTAATGCTCACGTTTGCATAACCGAAGGTAAAATGCCACTTTTCAAAAACCTCGTGGCGTGTAAGTGTTGCTAAAAACAAGCGAGGGTATACAGGACAGAGGAAACTATAAGGTATTTAAGTGCTCATCAGCCAATTTTATAGTGAAAGTTATGTCTTGGTCATTTGGCACGAAATCCTGAACAAGTTCCAATTTGCAACTTGTGAAAATATCAGCTTTATCCTGATTCTTATAAGTTCTAACCCCAAAATTGTTTTGTTTTGCAGGCATGGCAACTTTATGAAGAAGGAAGACTGAAAGAAGTCATAGATTCATCTCTCCAAGAATACCCTGAAGAAGAAGTCTTAAGATACACCAAAGTTGCTCTTTTCTGTACTCAAGAATCTGCTCAAAGAAGACCTTCGATGTCTCAGGTTGTCGAGATGTTATCAAAACCTTTAAAGCTCAATGAGAAAGAACTCATGCCACCAGGCATTGTGAGAGACTCTTCCGGAAAAGATAGAGGAGGATGGAGAGCAGCAAATTCGTCAAATTTGAGACTTAAAGGGTTGTCCTTTACTACGAGTAATTCCAGTAATCAGTTTAGTTCTGCTCCTGTTAGTGTCACAGAATTGGTCCCTAGATGAAAGTGTTGTGTGTACATCAAGCTACAGTATTTGTAATCAGGGCTCTACTAAGGGTAAATTTCATGACAGCCCCTGAGCTTTGAGGGGTTTTTGCACAGAATCTCCAAGAGCTTCGGGAAGTTTTACAGGACCCCCAACTACGAGAATTCATCATTACAGAGTTAAGGAGTAAAACGATACGTCTAGCATATCCTTTTTTTTAAAGAGGGAGATGCAAATGAGGGTATTGACCAAATTGTGTTTGGTGATGAGCTGCAAAAAAGTTTCATGTTTTGCCACTCGAGGAGCGCGTGACACGTTGAAGTTAATATTGTCAGTCATGGTAACAAGTGAAACAAGTTTACGAGGACTTTGAGGAATTTACGATCTTTATGGGAGTTATTGTGCACCTCATCCCAGAGTTGAGGTTTTGTTAAGATTGCCCTTGGATTAGTGACGATGTAACTCCTTTATTGACTCATCAATTGTATTGATGTTGGTTTCTGAACTGTTGTGTGATAAATGTGTGGGATATAGAACTTTCCATACAATTTTTAGTTTTATACAACTCCATCCGATGCTTGCAAGAAATCAAGGGTAAAATTAATTGATCAATCCATTGCAAGCATTTGGTCAAGACTACCGTTTTATATAACTCCATCCGATGTTCGCAAGAAATCAAGGGAAAAATCCATTGAGAAAGAGAGCGTATACGAATGAGAATACGTCACCCCTGTTATATAGAAAGAATTTTTAATGGATTATTTTAAATTGGTCCGTCGACTCGAAGTTGAAAGTTATACCATGCAGCATTCAAAAACACGCATTGAGAGTCAACCACTTACTCTAAGACCCAACTTGTCCAAAATTATATTCAACATAAAGATGCATAAATTCCCCAAAATTTGGCTATATAGCCTTCAGAAGAGCCGCAAGTGTTTGCATCTGTAAACAAGGTATTAAATGTTTAATTTGGGCTAAAATGAAAATTCGTCCCAAATTTAAACACCCTATTAATCCAGCCGTGCCTACTCTCCCATCGACGGCCCAGATCAAAACCCAGTCTTCTATATAAACCGGCCATCTCCCACGCATTCGTCAGCCACCCCAAACAAAAAAAAAAAAAAAAAAAAAGTGGGAGAGCGATGGTAAAGCATCGAGAAACAAGAATGGGCGGGGCCAACCCTCAGCCACGGCCACAGAAGCGTCGGGGTCGGACGCCGGACGATCCTCAGCTTCAGGCGCGCCCTCCGCCATCCCAACCCTTTCAAGTGCCGTTACCGCAGGGCATCAGCGGGGATGCTCTGGTGAAGATGATGGAGGATCTGGTTGAAGGAAATATCACGAGAAGGCTGCCGCGCATAATCGAGGCGGTGCTGAAGGTGGTTTCTGCAAGTTTCCAAGCCTCCATAGACAAGGAGGTCGATTTGATTTCAAAGGCGAGGGCCGCGGACGCCACCCGGATTAAAAATCTCTCTGATGGTTTGGGTAACCTGAAATCTGAAGTAGCCCGGCGGTTTGATAAGCTTCGCACCAAAGACCCGGAGGGGTTGCGGGCTCGGATCGAAGCAATGGAAGAAGATTCAGTTGTCACCAAGAATCACCTGGAGGATCTGCGGCGGCGGGTCGGAAAGTTGGAAGGAGATTCCAAGGCCGAGACTAAAAATCCAGGGAAAGAGGTGGAGAATGTGAAGGGTAGGATTCTAGAAATCGGACAGCTGCGAGCCGGCTTGACCGAGAATTTGGCGAAGGAGACTGAGCAAGCCCCTGAAAGTACTCGGAGGTTACAGCATGATGATGGCTTGACTCGCAAGCAAGCTTCCGCTTTCACAGAGGAATTACGTGGATCTGTAGTTGAGGTCATTCAGGTATATCTATCCGGGTGGCACTAGGGACACATCCCCCAACGGCACATCCCAAACCACACCCCCTCTCTCATATGCTACAGTATACCGGGTCTCACATAGGATTTTAAAATTTTAAAATCCCATGTGTGGCCCGGTATACTGTAGCATATGAGAGAGGGGGTGTGGTTTGGGATGTGGTTGGGGGTGTGTGCCCCTATCATTTTCCTATCTTTTTCCACAGTTTTAAAATCCCATGTGGGGCCCGGTGTACTGTAGCATATGAGAGAGGGGGTGTGGTTTGGGATGTGGTTGGGGGTGTGTGCCCCTATCATTTTCCTATCTTTTTCCACAGTTTATCTCATTGACGCACAAGTTAATACCGTGTTGAGTTACTTCAAACATTGACTTCCCAATTCCATGCTTGGAACCTGTTACTGATGGATGAGGTCTCTAGTGAGGTTTTATTTATAGTGGTTAGATTATCGAACTTGTAGCAATCAAAACTCGTTCTATCTTTTAGATTTCTGAGTAATGCCCATATTTCATGAAATTATTAAATAAATTCTATTGACCTTTTTGATATGTGCGCTTATGCCAATGTTGTAAAGGGTATATTATTTGTAGACTCTACGTAAGATCTTCCTTTACTACTACAAAGTCTCCTTGTACCGTGCATCAAGAGGGCAAACGAATTGTGTATTTTAAGATCTTCCTTTACTACTACAAAGTCTCCTTGTACCGTGCATCAAGAGGGCAAACGAATTGTGTATTTTCTAGTTGCAAAATGGATAAATAGAGATTCCTTGTACCGTGCATCAAGAGGGCAAACGAATTGTGTATTTTCTAGTTGCAAAATGGATAAATAGAGATACATCTACATTTGTAGGGGATAAAAAAATTGTGAAACGAATAAAAATAATGGGAGATGTTGGTTTTGTTTCTTGTGAGATTCCCCTCCTTTCTTGTCAATTCCTTATGATTGATGAAGTTTTTTGCGCAGCATTTGCTACCGCTAATTGCTCGTAATTAGGAATTGGTTGCAACTCCTAACACATAAGAAGCAGGCAATGAGAGAAATGGGAAAGGATATGAAAAGTATGGTTTATGGAAATATTTTTATATTTAGCCAAAGTTGCGCTTATATGAAAAAATAGGGTTTTACACAAATCCTTACTGGGAATGTTGTAACTGTGTAAGTCTTACAGGTATGCTATTACCTATTCTTGGTTTGAACTGGAATACTGCTGCAATATTCTTCAGTATATATACTTTTTGATTTACTTAATATATTAAACTATTAAAATATTCAGTTAAAGGTTTGAAGTTTTCCTTTGCTGTACTTTTTCTCCTTTAGTTGTATGAGGATAAGCTGTCCATCTATTTACTTGTTTTCATCCTTTTCGAGATGTTACTAAGTGGAAAGTTTCAGCAGAGTTATAGCCATATTATTCCCATTGTTGAACCTGTGTCGACTGTCCCCGTGTTCTTCATTGTGGTCAATATAGGGGTTTTTCACCCCTTGGTCAATTAAAAGCAATGAGGGAGAGAGGTCTAGTCAGTTTGCTTACAAAAATGCTTCTGCTACATCAACATACTTCTGAGCCTGCGCAACTCCAGTATCAGGACTTAACTAGCATGCAAGCTTCAGCTTTCTCAGTTTATCTCATGCGCACACAAGTTAGTATCCTATTAAGTAACTTTAAACTTGAACTTTCCGCATTCCATGCTTGGAATCTGTTTGAGGAAGAGAGAGAGGAAGCAGAGGTGGATTTGGGCTTGGGTTTAATATCATTTGGGCTACGGATTTTGAGTTCAAATGGAAGATATTTGCAGTTTAAATTCAAAACTTAAAGCATAACTTAGAAGACAAGTGAAGTGATACATTACTTATAAAATATTATGGGTATTTGAAATCACCTCCTAGTTGTCACGGAGAGGATGTGGATAAGCGATTAATGGAATTTATGCACTATTTGTTGTAAAAATTGATTATATATTTTAACTAGGATGTGGATAAGCGATTAATGGAATTTATGCACTATTTGTTGTAAAAATTGATTATATATTTTAACTGCTTTTGATTCATACTTAAATGTATGCAGGCTGCTATGGATGATTTTCTCCGGTCTTCATCGCTTCAAGATCTGAAGAACAGTCTTGAAGACACTATCGAGCGACAAATCGTTAGAGGAATTGCTACTATTGCTAGAGATCTGAAGAACAGTCTTGAAGACACTATCGAGCGACAAATCGTTAGAGGAATTGCTACTATTGCTAGCCAGCATTCTAAATTCGAGGTTTCACTTTCTCAGAAGTTTCAGGTCATTTTCTCACAAGAAGCTCCTAGCCAGCATTCTAAATTCGAGGTTTCACTTTCTCAGAAGTTTCAGGTCATTTTCTCACAAGAAGCTCATCTTCCTTGAGGTTTTATGATCTTTATCATAATTGATTAACTTAGCTTATTAAATACTTGAAAGTGGAAATCGATTATTTGGTGATTTTTAATATTCATATCTTTTTTCTTTGTTTTTATCCTAGGAAAATGCTATTTGGTCCTCCTTCAAGTTTAAAGCACTTTATGAATATCTATCGCGGGGCTTAGATCCTGCATTAGGTCCGTTGAACATCGTATTCATACAGGCAAATCAAATCATAGTTAATGTCTCCTATTATTACCATTCATTTGCCTCATTTCTACTTGTAGGCTGCATTAGCAAAAACTATGGGTTTAGATTTGCAGGGTATAGAGGCAAAACCCTTTATATTGTTTAGGGCGACGGGGTATTTGTCATTTACCCCTTTAAAAGTCTGAAACTGAATAATGTTAAATGATAGGTTTATTTTAACTCAATGTCAAAGGCTGTTAGGGTAATTACCAAATATTCAGATGTGGGAGCTGTGTCTGAGAATTAGTTTGGGAAAACTTAGGCATATATCCGTAAAATAGTTTTATCCCTTGTATTTTGGTTGTGTTGCATATAGAGGGACATCAAGTGTTCTTAAGATATTTGTTGTTTTGGGCAGGGTTACGTTGATGCTGTGTGGACAACCACGAACAGTTTGAAGTCTTTGCTAGCTGATTTTCGAAGTGTACTTATTCCATTCTTTTATTTTAGCAAAATATTCCATTTTTCTAGTGATTTCAAGAGCGATTACCTTGTTTTATTTTCTAAATGTACATATTGAATCAAAATTCTAGCAGGACTTGTCTTTCCGGATACCTAATCCAGAGGAAGCGTCTTCATCAGGTGCCAAAGATCAGGAGCACAGCTCTGTTTGAAAGGTAAATTTAATTGGTTTAGTGTTTTGGTTTTTGAGATTGTGTAGGTGTTTTTTTATTTTATTAACTGTGTATTATTGCATGTTTACTTATTTTATTAGCAGGTTTGAATTTATGTTATTGCTTGTTTTTTCAGTGGGATATGCTACCTATCCTTTGCTGCCATTTGATTTCTGTTTTGTTCAATTATGTCTTTGTATGGAGGGATTAGGCCTATATTACTCTCTATTCCCGCAAAATATTCCATTTCTCTAGTAATTTCTAGAGGGATCGCCTGGTGTTATTTCCTAACTGTAAATATTAAATTAAATTTCTAGCAGGACTCGTCTGTTCAGATAACTACTACAGAGGGAGCATCCTCTTCAGATGCCAAAGATTAGGAGCACAGCTCTGTTAGAGAGGTAAATTTGATTGATTTTAGGGTATTGGTTTTTGGGATTGAGTAGGTGTTCTTGTTATTTCATTACCCGTGTGATTATTGCATGTCTAGTTATTTTATTAGCAAGTTTGAATTTATATTATTGCTTGTTTTTTCAGTAGATATGCTACCTATCCTTCGCTGCAATTTGATTTTCTATATGTTCAGTTATGTTTTTGTGTGCATGGATTAGGCCTATATTACTCTGTATTCAAGCATTGGAACATCTTTTGTATTCTCTCAACTTCTCAAAGATATGGATTGAGAGGGAGACAAGCTTAGGATTACAACATATGAATGAAGCTTGCTGTCTTCTTCTTGCGTGTTATTTTTGTGTGACACTAACTGCTGAATTTGAATAACGCCATGTTCTCGAAGACTTTACAGTCCATTCTTAATATGATAGTTGCTAGTAGGGACTAAATGATGTTTGTACAAACCCTGTATGAGTAATTATTTAGTTATCAATAAAAGAAAGATAGTTGCTAGTAGGGACTAATTTGAATAACGCCATGTTATCAATAAAAGAAAGTTGCTAGTAGAGACTAAATGATGTTTGTACAAACCTTGTATGAATAATTATTTAGTTACCGGGAATTGGTTTTTTCAGTTTTTAGTTTGTTTTTCCAACCCTATTAAACTTTTGGAAGTGAAACTTAAATACACTTGCTACATTTCATTAATCTTGCTTTCAAAAGAGCTCTGTTGTGTGCTCAAAGTGAAACTTAAATACACTTGCTACATTTCATTAATCTTGCTTTCAAAAGAGCTCTGTTGTGTGCTCATATATTCGGAGCGAGTAGGCTGTCAAGTATTGTGAGCATTATGCCACTATCCAATTACAATTCTCTTTAGACTTTAAGATTAGAAGAAACATGAGATTAGGGTATGAAGATAATAAGTCGGGTGAACTTTTTTCGTGTCAATGGTTGAAATTCATTCCATCTGTTGTGCAATATCGAATTACTGCCATAAATTTTGGTAAAATAATGGGTCTTTTGAATCCTTACACCAGCTTAACTTTTCATTTTTCTTTACCTTTTCCCCCTTTTCCTTTTGCACTATAGATGAGGAAGTGTGTCATCATCATGTAGCCGATAAACTAAATCTGCAGAGGACAAATGCAATGAAACTTGACTCTTTCTAATGCTCTTATGGGATTTGCTTTATTTTATTTAGATAACCAAGATGCATTATTCTTGTGTCATCTGTGAAACCCTCTTAACTTAACTCTAAACCAGATGAAGGAAAATTTATGGTCTAAGATTCTCTTCAAAGTACTATCTGATCTCCGTGAATGCATTGAAGGAAAGTTTGTTGTGTGGTTTTTTATCATATGCTTGTTAGTTACATTAGTAGTTCACGTCTCATGTGTTTTTTTCTATTTGCATTTGTCTAAATTGCATGAATAAGTTATGCTGTAGTCTTTCACATATTTCCCCCCCCGCAACTTGGAATGCTTCTAATTGTTAGAACAGATTAGATTATGCGACGAGATACTAAAAACATTGGAATCACAATTCTTTCTTTTCTTGTAGGTTTCCCGATTCTTCTTCAAGATCAGAGCTGTTGTGAAATCAGAAAAGTCTGAGAGTAGTTATCAAATGTAATCTAACGGATCTTCTGTTTCGAATAGATGTTTTAAAATTGACACGTTAAGGCTTGTACCCATTATTAGTTGGATTGCACGTGCAATGCACGTGGTAAAATATTTATTATTTATTTTCATTTTATAATTTTATAAATATTGAATGTAAACAATGGATCAAACATATAGACATAAGCTAAAAATTCACAACATTTGAACAATAAAATTACATTTAGTGATTGATTGACGATAGTACACTGGTTGCATCTATAACGTGATTCGATCAATCAAATACTGTCACAAGAATATATCTAGAAGTAATGTTTCATGATGTAGATGTAAATCCAAGCTCATGGTATTAGAACCTTGATTAAGCCTTTGCAATACCTAATGTGTGAGTACATAAACACCCATGAAAATTTTACAATCCCATATAAAACCTAAAACACTCATTAAGGATTCAACAAATTAAGGCTTCACAAGCTCCAAACACACCATTTCCATAATCCAAAGTTAGAGCATGACTAATTTTTATTTCACAACATTGTAAGAAGATAATCTCCTTTTTTCCCTCGTAGTTTTAACTCCAAGAACCCTTTCTAGCTAAGTCGACAGCTGAATAAAAATTTTCACTAACAACCTTCTGGTTAGACTTTGTCATTCCTTTTGAATATTGCCTGCTATCTTTAGCATTCTCTACATTAAGCTGCCCCATTTGACGCTGAAGATCCACAAGAGAATCACTTACTACATTTGCCTTTGAACTCTTTTTTGAGTCAACAAACATTAGTTCTAATCTGTATAAAGCATAGACATCACACTTGTTGATCTCATACTCAAAGAGATGTCATTCGCAGTTGTTCAGTGGTTGTGTATCCATATAATAGGACCTCTTAAATCCTCCAAGCTCCTCCATTATTTGCTTCCTAGACTCATTCCAACCACGCCCATTGTAATATGGCATGTGTAAATGTATCAGTGTGTGCACACATATGTTTATACGTATGTATATACGCAGATATGAATATGTGTGGGTGTGAGTGTGGGTGTGTTTTCATGCAAGTTTATATGTATATACGTGTAATTATTAAGGTAGAATCACTTTTAACGTTTCTATATCTGTTGAGTAACAATCATGGCACTTGGATCTCAACGCTAAAATCATAAATTCTTTACCAAACATCAAGAAAATAAAAGCGACTTGTGTTCATAAAATTTAATTGAACTAAGTAACACAAATAGAGCTGGGTGAAAATTATAGGATGATTGTGCAGTGTATAAAAGGAAAACTTGAGCAAGCTACAAGCTCCTAAATGCCATTTTCTATAACCTCTGCATTTTTTCAAAATCCAACAGTAAATTGTCTAGTTGTAGCTTCAAGCACTGAATCTTATCATGAGTTCATATTGTGTGATTATACAGTTGTTATGCTCTAACTTATTGTATCATATAAAACATAATAAAATATAAATATTTTATTATTTCCAAATCTCAAAACAAGTAGGCAGTTAGTCTGACACATATACAAGCATCAGTTCGATTACCTAAGTTAGTATTTACTTGAATTTTCATATTTAACCTCTCATTCAAGTTTACTGTCCATAACATATACTGTAATCATTTAAAAAACTTAAATTACTTCAACAGAATATCCCTAATAGATTCTTTATAAGTTAAGTTACGAATAAATATTAGGGGAACGAAACAATTTGGAGGACAAATAAGCAAATGTAGTGAATCGTATGCGGACTATATTATTAACAATCATAAGCATTATTGAAATCATGCATACAAACTTATTTGGCCGAGCCTTCTTTCATGGTTGCAGCCGCAAATAATACCTTCTCAAGGTTACTATCCATCATCAAGAATTCCCCAGTAAATTATTACTTCTATCCAAGATCCTAGCCAAGACCTAGAATTCTCTTTGCACAACTATAACATCTTCGCTGGAATGAATAACGTTTAACGTAATACTATATGTTGTGAGTGTGTTGTTGACATGCACATGTGGATTTTACGTTGTAGAAGAGGTCTTGTATCAAAGAAAGAATAGTATGACATAGTTAAACTTATATACCTCCTAGCTTCCCAAAATCCTACATGTGTACATGCATATGTCACAGCTGGCACATAAATACCTCAGATACAACATAATTTAAATTTAAAACATCAAAAATCTCTGTAATTGTCCTCCATCACCCCCTTTTTTTACTTTTGGTTTTTAGTGGTGGGTATTGTCTTGATTGTCACATAAATACCTAAGGTAAAAACATTGTTACTTTTAAATCAAAAATATGTTTTGCCCTCTGTCCTTGTTCTTCTTTTTATCCTTTACTTTCTGCTCTTGGGGATTTGGGTGTTCTGGTCATCTTTAAATGAAATTATAAAACATTCGCATACTTATTAACATAAGTTGGTCCTTTTCTATTTACTAGTTAAGATGCACGAGTAATGCACGTGGTTGAATATTATGATTATTTAAATTTATAAAATAGAATAAAAATAAAAAAGGAAACAAAGTTTTTTTGTGATAAAACTTTAAATAAACTTTTACCGAATTGAAGTAAAACGACAAATTACAAACACCTTTAAAATATTACAAAGAAGCAGTTAAGGAGCAACACATGTACTTGAAGAATTGATTGACATTTATTCTTTAAAAAATATTACAAAGAATAATACCATCAAGGTATGGTTCAACATTCTTCATATCATAGAAGTAAAACTAAAACTATAAAGAAATATTTTCTTATGAAATTAGAGCATTCAACATTCTTCATATCATAGAAGTAAAACTAAAACTATAAAGAAATATTTTCTTATGAAATTAGAGCAGGGAGATTACGATATATTTCGCCATGTGCTCTAAATATATAAAAATTTCCTTTGTTACAAGGTCCGTATCATATCTTACTCCAAATGATGTGAATGACAAATGTTATTATAACTCACTTGCCTAGGCCAATTGTATTATATATAGGATATATAACTCATTTGGAATATCCACATATGCTAAGTGAATTTTGCTGTTGTGAGAGAAAATTGTTAGAGGCTTGTATTCAAACTTTTTGGGTTTATACAAGACACAAGAATTTAGAGTGGATAGCTTATATATTATAAAGAACATATTGGTTTATGAAGAATTTTCTCTATAGCGATATTATTACAATGATATTACTATTCAGCATTAAATCAATTTTATTGTAAAGATTATATGACACTTTTTAATAAATTATAATGTGTGTGTGTCTACTATATATACTATATATATACTATATATATATATATAGTATATATTATATATATATATATATATATATATATATATAGATATATATATATATATATATATAGATACATATATATATATATATATATATATATATATATATATATATATATATATATATATATATATATATATATATATATATATATATAATATAATATATATATATATATATATATATGAGAAAAATGGGTATGCGTGTACCAAGCCACAAATTTTGTGCTTGAAAGTGATGTGTCACATCCTCATCCACTCAATACCCATGTGAATGTTGTCCCATATTTGAATGAGTGCGAGGGGGATGTGACACATCACTACCAAGCCACAACTTTTCCGTGCTTGTACCAAGCATACCCATATTACTCATTATATATATATATATATATATATTATATATATATATATATATATATAAATATATATATATTATATATATATATATATATATATAATATATATATATATATAAATCTTGATACTTATAGCCAGTAGTTGGGCTCCACAAAATTGGTTAACTTTACATTATAGTTACTAATTTGATACGCGTAACTATGAATAAATCTCAAGCAAAAAATAAGAATTGAGATTGTTTTATCCTGTAGGTAAATAAATAAATGCTATTAGAGCTTCTCTTTCTATTAAATTTAAAAGTAATAATTTAAATTATTAAGCACCAAATATTAGTTCATGTGAGAAAGTAAAGTAATCTATGGCATATAGTAATAATTTAAATTATTAAGCACCAAATATTAGTTCATGTGAGAAAGTAAAGTAATCTATGGCATATATACCTATATAGTCAATTAGTCAAATATATTAAAATTATGATGACCACAGTCAAAATTATATGGTGGGTTCATATTAAATATATTTTATAAAAAATAGTATATTAAAGTCAAAATCCTTTTAACCACTATATAGATTGTATGAAAATATTTGCATATATAAACTATACTGCTTAGGAATAGTAATTTGCACTTAACCATTGCCTAATACATCTTAAAAACAACTTACTCTTCATTATCATCATTAATTAACGTATCTATGCATTACACTAAAAACACAATAAAAATTTAGAAAACTATAAAAGAAACACCCTCAAAAGTTTTAAAAATTATAAAAAAGCACTCTAATTTTTTGTAATTTGCAAATACACAAAACTATTAAACATTACATTAAAATCAAAGAATTGCAAAAATTCATTAAAAAATTTTAAACTTTGGAGGGGTAATTTGCAATGTACTGGATTTTAAGGGTGTTTTTTATAAAGTTTTAAATTTAATAGATTTTTAATTAGTTATGTTCTTTTCAAAAAAGTTATGGATAATATTGACCATGAAAAGTTTTTTCTAAACATATACTTTTAAAGAGAGTATAATATTTTTTGTAAATTTTTTATTTTGTAAGGGTTGTTAGTAATTTTGTATACTCATTTTAGTGTCTATATGTTACAAATTCCCATAGTATTGTTTTTTGAAAATTATGAATTTTAGGGGGTTTTTTATAATTTTTTAAACTTATAGGCACTTTCTATAGATTATAAATTGTTTATAGACTATTTATAATTCCTATGTTTTCAATTTACTAATGAGTTTGATATTCTCAGGGTGTTTTCTGTAAAATTTGAATTTTGAGTTTTCATTTGTAATTTTTAAAACTATAAGGGTGTTTTCTATATATTATAAATTATGTATGAGGATATTAGCAATTTCTCTATTTTTAATGTACAGTTAGGTTGAGAATTATCATGATTTTTATAAATTTTATAATTTTGAAGATTTTATTTTGTAACTTGTAAAAAGTTCAGAGTGTTTATTATAAATTTTATAATTTTTTGGTGGTTGTTTGTGTTATTT